GTTTGAGAATAAGTAACCTTCAATCCTAAGGATAATTCTAATACCCAGCTTCCCATATGCCCATTGAGAATCAGGGTCTAAGATCTTGCTAATCGAACAAGGCAGTTAACAGCTTTGGCATCAAGTGGAAGTTTTTTAAGAAATTCAGAATATCAGGCCCTATCTTGGTCCTTCTGAATCAGAATTTGCATCTTAACAAGTTACTAGTACACATATTAAAGTCTGAGATGTACTTATCTAAAGCATTGCTCTGAAAAGTCAATATCTGCAACTAACAGCAAACGGTGGGCTCTAAAGCAAATGACTAGAGGTTAGCTTCACAGAGAATTAAAAAAAAAAAAAAAAAAAATACTGTGTTACCTAACAGAGAAGTCAAATTCTGGGTATTTCCAATGTCTTAACATAAAGGGGTTAAATATGATCACAGCCCTAAATACATGACAACAGAGAAGTATTAAGAAATTAAGAAAGCTCTTAAAAGATGCTGCAAATTACACCTATTTGACAGTTACATTAAAGATAAAGCTTTCTCTATTGTAGAGATATTTTCATGATTGCAGAGCAAATGCCATTTTCCAACTAGAAGAGCTGACTGACTACCTGTTTTCTGACAATACCTGACTATTAACTGAGTAAAGACCATCTCAAAAATGTAACTCTAATAACTAGGTCCACCTCATTCTTATTACTTAGTCTTCTTAACATGTATATTTTCAAATGTTTATCTTTTGTCCCCTTCCTATAACTTTTTCTTTTATCTTGATTTTTAAATTTTAAAACATTTCTCAACTACAAAAAAACGGAAAGACTAGTATATTCAACGTCCATACATTCTTCATGTATATTCACTCATCACATTTTGATACTCGTATCCCTTTTTCTCCCTCTCTTCATTTCTTCTGAAACATCTGAAAGTTACAGACATACTTCACCTCTAAAAAACCTCAGCATATACTATTTATGAACAAAAACATCATCATTTTTCACCCAGGATCCAACCAAGAGATAACACATTATATTTGGTTTTCACGTCTCTTTAATCTCCTAAAACCCCTCCCACACTCCCTAACTTTTTTTGGTTGTAGTGACATTCACACCTTATAGGAGTCCAGGACAGTTATTCCATAGAATGTTCTACCATATGGGTATGTTTTCTCAGGACTAGATCCAGGTTAAACAGTTTTTGGGGAAAATGCCGTATAAATAGTTTTTTTTTTCAAACTGTCCTCATAGTTTCTGTGTTTTATGTTCTCAAGTAAATTATAAACAAGTTCTTTGAAAAATGTGGTCTTGCTTTTTATTCCTTGGTATATCCCCCAAAGAATGTAGTGTAATCTCTGTATATGTTATAAACCTGATAAATAAATAAAAAAGTCAAAAGCAGAATTGACAACCACCTCTAAGGGTAGCAGAACATGCATTGAATAGTTTTATACCAGACTGAAAATATATGGGCTTTGCCTCTAAAATTTTTCATATCAATAATTAAGCATGTAAATAGTTTAGCACAGTGCCAAGTAGCACATGTATAAAATATGGCCATGAAAGAGCTGCAGCTGAAGGCAGAGATCAAGCCAAATGAAGTGCTGCGGTTGGAAGGATAAGGGAACAAAGAATGTGGTCATCTATTATGTCCCAAAATATTTTACAAGTAAAATGGGCTTTAAATGGAAGATTGAGACAATAGCAGATTTAATGAAAATCTCATCTTGTAACTCTCACCTGAATCAGATACTGATAAGAATTGTTTCTTAGAAAAGGAGGAACAGCAAAATAGATAATTTGATTCTGATTTAAATAATAAAGCAGCTTAGAACAGTATCCAGGGACAATAAAGTATTAAAATAAAAGTGTGTTGTTATACAAGATGAAGTTCAGAGACTATTTTAAAAATTATTTTCAAGGCATCTGTGATAGTTATACGTCAACTTGGCTGGTCTATGGTTTTAAGTGGCTGGGCAGCTGGATGTAGTTATTCTCCATGATGATATTGTAATCACTTCATAGTGGAATCTGCTGTGAACAGCTAGGGAGCTGCCTTAGGGGTGTGTTCTGCTCCCAGTATGTAAGGAAAAGCTTTGGGAAAGGTCTCCAGGTTTTTGGCACACTTGGATCCTGCATTTGTCTGTCTTGATCCAGTGGCCTGCTGTACTACCTGCTGATTTTGCGATTGTTCCTGGACTTGAACCAACAGGGCTTGCCATGTGCCTGTTGATCTTGGAACTGTGCTATTCTACTTGCTGACCCTGGGTTCATCAGCCTCAGCAGCCAGCAGCTGCATGAGTTATGTGAGCCAGTGGCCCTGGAAAAAGAGACAGAGCTGAAGCCCAAGGTGGAGGTGCCTTTACTTGGCCCCTAGAAGTAGCACTCTGAATTTGGACTTTTAGCCTTCTAACTTTAAGAGAATGAATTCCTGTTTTGTTAAAGCCTTCCACTTGTAGTGTATCTGTTATAGCAGCACTACAAAACCAAGACAGCATCTAATATCGTTTCAGGGGAAGTAGTAAATACCACTTCTTTGAAGAATTGCTTCTATATAGAATGCAAATACTTTAGATATGGTACTTTAGAGAATATTTGGTATATAAGCCATTCCTAATTACAGTCAGGTTTTGAACCACCAGTTGACATTTTGAAGTACATCAACAAATGATTAAGACTAGTCCTCTACTTTGTACCATATAAACATGTTTTTATTGTTCACTACGTAATCCAAATGTTCTTTAGATAGGATCTGTGCTTCTCTTCCACTGATTTTTTCCTACATATAACTATTAAAAGAAAATGTACTATTATGCGATATATATAAAAGTCATATCTAATAACCTGCTATAGGTTTATTCATATCTAATAACCTGCTATAGGTTTATGTTTCATGAAAAAAAAACAGACTGATGTCTTTGTCAGACATCTTGTAGTTGCCAAACAACTTAGTAATGCTAGACACAAACACCCCTGAAAACTGAACCAGCAATCTAACATCATTTTTCTAAAAGATACTACTTAAGAAATGTGAAATTACTATGTGGACATTAGGAGATGTTCCTTTTAAACTAAAATATATTCTGACAAGCAATAATGTAAATAGACTTAAAACCTACTAAACACTATATAAAAACTGAGTACTTAGCACATTTGCCCTTGAGAAGTGCAATATTACATAATGAATAGTTTTTATGACTCACTTAGCTAAATAAGCTCATGTTTCTTCTCATTTACAGAAGAGTTATTTCACTTGGCAATGGATGTAGATTTTTGATTCTAGGAAAAAGTGATTACAGATCCTGCAGAGAGCTAATAATTATACAGACAGATGATATGCCACATACCACTAGACTTTACAGGCACTCTCTAACAAGAAAGCCAGCATTAACTTTGTGTATCAATATTATTCTCTTGCTCCAGTGTATGAATTATAGTAATGCCATATAATGTGATAAGTCAATTCTGTAACAACAAAACAAATTCAACTGTTTTCAAATATAGGTAGTCTCCAACTTATGATGCGGTTCCATCCTGACTACTCTATCCTGAGTCAGTTCTAAGGTAAACAGAATACTTTTTTTTTTTCTTTTCTTTTTAAAGCTTTCACTATTACTGTCATTATTTCTATAAATCCAATCCTTGTCTTTGGTGGTTGGAAATACTACATATAAACATCTGTGAATGATAGATAACATCAGCAAATTATGTGCTGCAATGGTGTATATAATACACTGTTTAAAGCAGTTTGTTGTATTTTGAATATATGGGAAATTGGGGACTACCTGTAGATAAATATCATTCTAATTATAGAACTTCATCACAAATATTTTTCTAGGAAGGCTACTGTAATATAGTCTTTGAGTCTAAATAGTACTTTCAATACTATCTTTCCAGTGCATGAGGCCCAATTCCTATCCTTGTCAATAGTTATGGACCACATTTAGCCAGAATTCCAGGCACTATGAAAAAGTGTGCTTCTACTGCTACAGAGATGGTAAAATTGATTTCATAACATAATTTCTTCTACTTTTCTTAAAAACATTTTGTTAAATTATCTATTTAACTAAAATCTATGAGAATTTAGAAGATAAGATTATGTTCAATATAAAAGCCAAAATTCCAGTTCTGGAGAAATTTATAGCTAATAATTATATAAATTACCAGTTAAGTATATGAGATGAGATTCAGGAGGCTAGCTACAAAAAGTACAAGTATTCATCAAAATAAATATTTCCCTATTATAAACTAAGACAATATAATGATTTTTATCACAGAGTATCTTGCCAAAAATATTTCATATTTTAAAAGTATATCATACCAAAGAGCATTGATTTTTCTCTTCAAAAAGCCAAGCTATTCATTATAATTCATTTATTTGACAAATATATGAATAGATACTCCATGCAAGGAAATGTGCCAAATATTGTGAAGAATATAAAATTATACAAAACTTGCTTGGACTTTTCCCCTAAGAGACTTATGGTTACTTGAAATCAGCGTAAAACCAAACAAGCTTCCATAAAGTCGATTCTGATTCATGGTGAACTCATGAAAGGTGCCCTGGTGGTGCAGTGCCTAAGGCATTTAACTGCTAACCAAAAGGATGACAGTTTAAATACACCAGAAGGAAGATGGAGCAATCTATTTTCAAAAAGATTTACTGTCTCAGAATCCCAATGGGGATCACTATGAGTCAGAATTGACTCGATGGCAGTGAGTTTATTTGATTATTTTTTTGGTAACTTCACATGTGTTAAAGGAGAATTGTGCTCCATAGGATTTCCACGGCTGATTTTTCAGAAGCAGATGACAAGGCCTTTCTTTCAAGGCATCTCTAAGTGAACCTGAACTTCCAACCTCTCGTTAGCAGTCCAGAGCATTTACTATTTGCACCACCACCCAGGGACTCTGAGATCAGCGTACATGTCCAATATAAAATACTGTACCCTCTAGAGATACAAAATTTAAGTGAGATGTCAGAAAATATTTGCGCATCCCCCAAGAAGCGTGTTTACCTGGTCTTGCAGTGACATCACTGGATTATTTTTGGTAGTGTTGATGTGAAGGACATGGTATTTATTCTTCGCACACAGGTCATAGGCGATATTGGTAAAAGAGGTGCTTGCAGTTTTGGGGACTCTGTTATAAATGATCACCATGTCCTCTTCCTCATCTAAAGCTACATCTTGCCGAGGGCCATCCATTGTATGTCGCTGCTCAATTTCTCGTATTTCATGTCTTGCAATAGCTCTTTCTGCAAAGAAAATCATATGTGAATTAAGTTTTAATTTTTAGTGAGATTATTAGAAGTTATTAATGCTGAACTCTGGACCATGAAAAGGCAAGATGAAAACACAAACAAAGAAATGAAAAAACAAGACAAAGGACCAAAGTATATAAAAAAAATGTAGAGTTTGAGTTTTTAAGATGAACAATATAACTGACTATAAAATAGCTATAGCCTGGAACAATATTTTCCTATTCAAGGACTGGGTAAGAGCAGTTGAAGAAATGTTCTGAGAACCAAAACCTTTACTTTTCAAGGGTAAGACATATGCATGTCAAGAACAAACTCATCAAGTTTAGAACACCAGAGAACAGAGTGCAGCTCAAAAGTCACTTTACATGCTAAAAGAATTTCAATACCTTGAATTAATTCTCAAACAAAAAATGACAGATTGCACAGAATATTAAACTTCATGATAAAAAAATTGTACTTAGAAAATAAATCATTTATAATTTAAAGCAAAGATTTTGAAATTTACTATTTAGGAGTTATTTAATCCCTGCTTTATCAAAATGTGGTAGGGCAGTTATTATAAATACTAGCATGATTTCAGGTAGTAAGAATAAAAATAATACCACTACAAACCCTTCTTTTTGTTGTTGAGTACAGGTAAGTCTTGGGTATATTTAATCCTTAAATTTCATGGGTCTTCTAATTCAAATCATTGTCCAGTGTGCAGTTTGAAAAGCAGTTATATTTTGCTGTCTACTACCCTCTACTTAATGTACCTCAGCTTAAAATATTTTTTTAGAATATGAAAGCATGAAAGGGAAAAGGTAGTAGGAAATGATGAGAAAAACTTCTAGCAAGATTACAAATTTTTAGCAGAAGGACAGACTCTCACACTTTTTGGAACTTGATAAAGGTGGTGATATCACAACATTGAGAATGTATTAAATGTTACTGAATTGTTCACTTTAAATTGGTTAATTTAATGTTATGTGAATTTCACCTCAAGAAAAAAATATATTAAAAGAGAAAATATTCTAAACTATAGATATAATATGGGTTCATTTTAAAACAATAACATTAAAACAATTCTAACAGGCACTATTATTATCCTTCATTTAGATGAGGAAAGAAAACTCATAGAAATTAAATAGTCACCAGCTGAGTAATGAGATCAGGATACCATCCTACGTCTATATGACTCCAGAGTCTGTGTTCTACATCATTCTGGTTGTCTGAGATTTGCTATGTTTATATATTAGGATGAAGTAGAGCCTCATAGATAAATATATGGTATTATTACACATGTAGGATTTCTGGGTGGTGCAAACAGTTAAAACATTTAGCTGCTAATAAAAAGGTTAGAGATGTGAGTCTACCCAGAGGGACCTCGCAAGAAAGACCTGGCAATCTCCATCTGAAAAATGAGCCACTGAAATTCTATGGAATACAGTTCTACTCTGACACACGTGGGGTGCCCTGAGTCAGAATCGACTTCACAGAAACTAGTTATTACAGAACTACTTTTTTTGGAGGAAGTATCTATTTGTAAAATATTAAACATTACAGTTGAAAATCAAAGCTGAACTGACTTTAAGGCTTAAGTTTTACATATTTCAACCTCTTCAAAAAAATACTCATGAGTCCAACTAATCTGCTTTTTCCTTCTTTTGAGTTTAACCAAGATAAACCAAAAAAACCAAACTCACTGCCGTTGAGTCAGTTCCAACTCACAGCCATCCCTCCTTGGGTTTCTGAGGTGTTATCTCTATGGAAGTAGATAGCCCAATCTTCTTTCTAAGGAGTGGCTGGTGGGTTTGAACGGCCAGCCTTCTGGTTAGCAGTCAAATGGCTTAGGCACTGCGCCACCATCACCTTTCACCTATTTACAAATTTCTTATGTGAACTGTGACTATTTTCAAATAGTATAAAATTGAACAAATTTTACTGTAACAAGTGACATAAAAGAGAAGACAAAATGCTTCTAGGTCCAAGGATGGGGGATGTAACTTCTGGAAAAAGGTACACTGAGCAAACTGGGCCCTCAAAGGCTGGAGATGGCTTTTAAAATGTAGAAAGAGGTAAAAGAGGAAGGTGTAAAACCTTCGGGAATTGCAAAAAAGTTGGTAAGTAACAAATACTGTGGTAAATTTGATTTAAAAAATTGTTTAACAATAGTGTGAAGCAGCTGCAAAAACATCTATGGCAGTTTTATACTGCAGCGTTAGGCACATAATTATCACAGTAACAACTGCTTCTGCTTAATAGGCTTTTACTATGGGCTAAGAACAATGCTACATGTTTAAAAGTAAAAGTGAATTATTTAATTCTTGGAATAATTCTACAATATTTTGTTAATTTAAATTCAGATTAATCACACAGTTAAGAATAAAGTCAGAATTCAAACTTGCATTTGTCTGATAGTAATGCCCATATTCCAAACCAAAATGCAGTAATTGGTGTAGTTGTTGCTACGTGTGTCGAGTCAGTTCTGACTCACAGCAACTTTAAGTACAACAAAACAGAAACAGCTGACTGCACCATCCTCACAACTGCTGCTCTGTTTGGACCCACTGTTGCAGCCACTGTGTCATTCCGTCTTGCTGAAGGTCTTCCTTTTTATGCTGACCTTCTACTTTACCAAGCATGATGCCTCCTCCCGAGACTGGGGTCTCCTCATGTCCGAAGTATGAAAGATGAAGTCTCACCATCCTCACTTCTGAAGAGCATTCTGGCTTGTACTTCTTCTCAGACAAATTTGTTCCTTCTTTTGGCAGTCCATGGTATATTCAATATTCTTCACCAACACCATAAAATTAAAATGTATCAATTCTTACTCAGTCTTCATTCATTATCCAGCTTTTTTTGCATGCATATGAGGCTTTTGAAAATACCATGGCTTAGGTCAGGCACACCTTACTCTTTGAAGTGACAACTCTGCCCTTTAACACATTATAAAGAAGTCTTTTGCAACAGATTTGCCCAATGCAATACACTGTTTGATTTACTGACCACTGCTTCCACGCGTAGGAGCTCTGGTGGCATAGTGCCTAAGGCACTTGACTGCTAACCAGAAGGCTGGTGGTTCAAACCCACCAGTTCCTCCTCTGAAGGAAGACGGGGCAATCTACTTCCATAGTGATACTGCCTCGGAAACCCAAGGAGGGGTTGCTATGAGTCGGTCCAACTCGAAGGCACATAACAACAGCAGTTTCCATGGGTGCTGCTTCTGGATCCAAGTAAAATGATATCCTTAACAACTTCAATCTTTTCTCTGTTCAGCATGATCATACTTATTGCTCCATTTGTGAAGATTTTTATTTTCTTTAGGTTGAGATGTAATCCATACTGAAGGCTGTTGTCTTTGCTCTTCATCAGTAAGTGCTTCAAGTCTTCTGCAATTTCTTTAAGCAAGGTTATGTCATCTGCATATTGAGGTTAGTTTTCCTCCAATCCTGATGCCATGTTCTTCACATAGTCCATGTACTATATAGTGAGAAAATATACCACCACCATCAAGTCGATTCCAACTTATAGCACCTCCATAGGGTGTCCAAGGGAGCTCTGGTAGCATAGTGCCTAAGGCATTTGACTGCTAACCAGAAGGCTGGCGGTTCAAACCCACCAGCCACTCCTCAGAAGGAAGATGGGGCAATCTACTTCCGTCATGATACTGCCTTGGAAACCCAAGGGGGGTCACTATGAGTCGGGTCTGACTCAACGGCACATAACAACAACAGGGTGTCCAAGGCTATAAATCTTTACTGAAGTACACTGCCCCATTTTCCTCCCAGGGAGTAACTGGTGGGTTTGAACCACTGATCTTCTGGTTAGCAGCCAAATGCCTTACCCAATGTGCCACCAGAGCTCCTTAGGAAAATAAAGCATTTTTGTAGGGAAATTGGCTTCACTTTAAGTCCGTTATATAATAATATTTCTCTTCTCTTTTTAAAAATACCTTTATCGAAGTATAACTGACATATAAGAAGCTGCCCATGTTTAAAATGGACAGTTTGATAAGTTTTGACATATGTATAAAAACCAAACCAAACACACTGCCGTAGAGTCAGATCTGACTCATAATGACCCCTCCTTGGGTTTCTGAGGCAGTATCATCACGGAAGTAGATTGCCCAACCCTCCTTCTGCCCAACCAGAAATGGCTGGTGGTTTTGAATCACCAGCCTTCTGGTTAGCAGTCAAATGCCTTAGGCACTATGCCACCAGAGCTCCTATGTGCATATGTATACACCTGTGAAAAATATATCACCACACTCAAAACAATGAACATATCCATAATGCCAACGAGTTTCCTCCTTTCTCTTTGTAACCCCTCCTTCTCCATGGCCAGCCCCTCCAATGGTATCAGACAGATGAGATTCAAACTCCAATCTGTCTTATATCAAAGCCTGTATCCCTAAAAAAAAAAAAAAATGTAATAATTAACTCTTAGATCACAATAAGGAATAGTTTCTAAGAAATCTGTATTCAATTGCACAAGAAATGTTATGTGTCATTTCTGGCAGATTTTAAGAGGTCCACTAAAAACTAGAGTTATATCAAAAATGGGAATGAGCTATAGGGACCACGCCACACAAAGACCTGTTGAAAAAATCTACTGCTTAGAGAGGAGAAAACGTATAAAAAGCACCAGGAGTATCTTGAAATGTTTGAAAAGTTATCGTAAAAAGGAGGCATCCTTTCTGCAAGAAAACAAGGTAGATTGTGGCTCAAGAGAGATGATAATTAGTAAAGCAAAATAAAGACACAGGTAGTTAGCAGGCTAAGCTGTTAGTCAAAGAGATATTCACATAGAGGCAGATGAGGAATCACCAAGAGATGGTGCCTAAGGGAATTCTCCCTGATGAGAGCTGAAATCAGGTGACTTATGGAGCTCTGGTGGTGTAGTGTCTAAGGCACTTGACTGCTAACCAGAAGGCTGGCAGTTCAAACCCAGCCACTCCTCGGAAGGAAGATTGGGAGATCTACTTCTGTAGTGATACTGCCTCAGAAACCCAA